TGAGAGGAATATGTTTCTAAATTTCCAACGTTTGTCTTCAGTTGTTTATTGCTGATTTTTGAATTATAAATTTGTTATAATTTTCTAATTATAGTTTAATTTTAAGTCAATGAATGTGTACTTCTATAATTTTACTGTCGTCTGATTTTCGTTGTTGGATATGTCCAAGAGAAAATAATAGGCTATCGTGATATTTGAGTGTGTAGTGAAGAACACTAATATTATGTGCCAAAGAATAATAAGCATTTATATCATTTACATATTCTTTTGTTTGCTCAAGTTATGGCTGTTCTGTTAGTGGTTAGTGATAACAGTCTTAATTTTCTTTTTAATGTATGAGCAAATTTCATGTGAATTTTGAAATTTTGATTGTAGTCGATTTGAGATGACTGATGAATGAGTGATAGGACATGGAAATAACTCTATTTATTTGGGCTAAGTTTGGCTCATTGTCCATTTGAAGTTGGATGTTATATTTCATGTGAGTGTAGTTCACGCCGTTGTTATGTTATTGGTTTACTATATATGTTCTCATACCTTGATTTTCATATAACTATTTTTTTTGTTGCGAATCATTTTTTTTGAATATTAACGTGTTTTTTTTGTCACATCTGTTGTTATGTTTAGTGATTTTTGGTGTAATATTATAGGATATCCATTAAGGCTAAAACGGTTTCCTCTGAACGTTATGGATTTATTTTATTAAAGAAAAATACAAATAAAAATACCCCTAAAATTTATAATTGAATTACTAAATAATCCTAACTTTAAACATTTTTTTATTTTATTAACTTTAAACAATTTTGTATTTTATAATTATTACGTCATTTCTTACAATAACTATAATTAACAAAGAGTTAGGCATCACTAAAATAAAATCAACACTATATTTATTTTGTAGGTTTCAACAATATCACAATAAACATAGTACTCTAAAATTAAAATTAAAAATATTGTGGCTAAAATAGTGTTTTTATTATTTTTGTATATTTTAGTATAAATAATAGTCTAATGTAAATTCAATATTATAAATGTAAAATAGTACAAAATATATAGTAAATATTTAAATAGTATTAAAATTAGATATTTATATGAAATGATATGAAATAAAAGATTATTATAGTTAGGCCTAATGTAAAAATCAATTAAAATCCAAATAAAATAAATATAGTTACAATTAGGCTTAAAAATTCTTCAACAAATTATAGAATGACAAGTGTCAACTTTTGCCCCCAGAAAAAAAATCTACTTTATTAATAAAGATGATTACATAACATAATAGAAAATATGATATGACATAAGAAAAAATGTGACATGGACAATTCATTTAATTTTAATTTTTATTTTTGGTAAACTTTTTAAAATGTGATAATATCTCACATATCATCATTAAAATAAATATAACCCTAAATATTATAATAATAGAAACAAAACTGTTTTTACAAATTTGAAATATTATTTTGTCTATCTTCAAAAAATTTATACATTCTTTAATTTTTTTTTATAAATTTTTAATCAATACTATTTATTCCTTTTGCTATCTACAAATTTGAGAAATTTTCTTAAGTTATTTTTTGATAAAATTTTATTTTAGTATACCTTAACCTCAAAGAAATAAATGAAAATCTATTTAAGATCATAATTTTAAATATATATATATATATATATATATATATATATATATATATATATATTCTGAAAAAATATTTAAATAAATTAATTTTTAATTTTATAATTTAATTTTGATAAACTTTTGATAAAATTTTATTTTAATATACCTTAACCTCAAAGAAATAAATGAAAATATATTTAAGATCATAATTTTAAATATATATATATATATATTTTTCTGAAATAATATTTAAATAAATTAACTTGTTAATTTTATGTTTAGCTCAAAACTTGTATTAATATATTGATATAAAATAACATATCAAAAATGTTAAAAAAAATTCGTTATAAAACTATAGTTTATAGAAAAAAAATTATTTTGTACATGATGTTGGAAAACACAGTTTGTTCGATATAAAAATGTAACTAGATTTTGACTCTTCCTTTGAAAGGACAGATTTATTTTTGTTTGATTTTTTTTTGAATTTTTTTAAATATGTAATGAATCAGATATGAATTTATTAAAATATAATAAATAAATCAAATTACCAAAATCACAGAGAAATTACAAATCAACCAGACTTAAATTTTATAATGGAAAAAATATATTTTCAACATAATAATCTAATACATAAGAATTAAATTATTTTTTAATTATATATTCTCATTAATATAAATTTATTTTATCATATAATAAATTATATATGAAATTTTTAAAACATAAAAAATAAGGAAAATTATCTAAAATCGTGGAAAATTGATAACTAAACAATTTTAATTCTTAAACTAGATGTTTATATTAGGCTTTTTATGGAATGTTTAACAGATCGGCCCAGAGCTAAAACTTAGACCAGTTTTCTTTGAACTATTTTAGAAGCAGTTAAATTATATATACACACATATAAAATCTTTTAGTTCGAAATATAATTAGATAGCTCTTCCGAACTCCGTTATATCTCCTAACTACTCTGTTTCATCTCACCGAAAATATCCTGAGAGCTTTCAACTAAGTTCATTTTCATCATTTTCACAGGTAAATTGATGGACATAAATTGATCTTGGATCTCATCTGTTTTCTCTTTCGGTTTTTATGATCACAACTTTGCTTGCTAGTTGAATAGCTTCAAGAACCTATTTGTGTTCAAAGACTTATGCTTTACTTGCTTGTTCTCATGAGTTTTTTTCAGATCTGTTGCATGCTTATATGTACAAAGAAGTACACTGTGTTGAGTCTCATTTTTATGTTGTGACTGTGCAGTAAACATCAAGCCAGTCTCCTTCCGCAATGGCCATCCATGCCATGCCATCTTAATTGCATTTACATGCAATCTGCAGTGGAGAAGACATTCTGTTTTCATTCACATACCGTCCCGTCTGACTTCCACATCAGTTGTTCGTTGACATTTTAGACAACAAGCCTTGACTTAAAATCAACATAGTGTCGCTATGTGTACATCGCCTTGCCTTGTGGCCAAGCGCCATGGAGGACAGTGTTCATGTTTGCTAGAGGTTCCTAACATGGTTTTACTTTGCTCACTGTTCATGTATTCACATCTATGCTTTTGGCTATTTTGTTCAGGTTTTTCTTTCGTATACATGGATAATGAAAGGGATGCCGAAGATGCAATCCGAGGCCTTGACTGTATTGAATTTGGGCGCAAGAAACGCAGACTCCATGTTGAGTGGACAAAGGTAGGGGCACTGACCTCAGTGGCTATTTAGTTATAATGTTCGACATAAGTGCTGACATAGGGTGAACGTGGAGGTGATAGAAGATCTGGTGGTGGTTCAAGGAGATCTTCATCCAGCATCAGACCTTCCAAGACTCTGTTTGTGATTAACTTTGATGCTGAAAACACAAGGACAAAGGATCTAGAGAGACACTTTGAGCCATATGACAAATTGCAAACGTTAGAATCAGGAGAAACTTTGCGTTTGTTCGGGCTACAATGGTGCTAAGCCCTATGCAGAAGAGGTAGGATGGTGAAACTTTGTTCATATTAAAAAAAAATGAGACTTTAACTTATGAAACTTATAAATTGTTTCTTTGTTTGTGTGGGTTTCATTAGTAGCAGGTCTTGTTCGCCTCCAGCTGAGGAGTGATGAAAAAAAGGATCCAACCATCTCTATCAAAGTAGAATGTTGTAAAACTGTATTATAGTCAAACTCTATGTCCTCATGGTTTTATGTTTTTGTCTTTGGAAACACTCCAACCTCGGATCTCTTTCATTTGTCGGATTTGAAAAACTGTTTCTTGCGTGTTATGTGCTTATAATGGGCCATGTTACGGAATATTTCGTATTTTAATTATTGTCAAATCAGGAACACAAAAGATAACTAATTTCATTGTAGTCAAACACATTAGAATGAGTAAGAATACGACTATTCAGTCAGGTTTCCCTCCGAATTTGTTGACTGTGTACCTGCCGGGTATCTTCTGCAGCAGCCTATATATTCTTATTGACGGTTAAACCTATCACATTTTTAGTTTACTTTTCTTGGACCAGAGACAGTTGAAAAAGGGAAGAAGTCCTGTTAGTACGTAGGAAGGAACAATGTTCTCTTTAGGCTATTTGTCCATAGTTTTTTTTTAAATTGAATAATTATGCTGTTACAAATTATAAAATATATTATAAACGATTCATATCTCTTATCAAAAATCCATGTATTGGTTGTCAAAAAAAAAAAAAAAATCAAATCCATGTATTGTAAAACTATTAATGAATTTTGGTCAAATTCCTACACAAATTGTAGCTTTAAAGATATGCATGATTGATGGTTCTTGAACACATAAGGCATTCTGTATGGTTGTGGATGGACATGGAAAAATCACCCAGTGAAAATCTAATCTATGTGATCCAAAAACCAAAGAATAATTTTTTTTATCTTTTCATAAAGAGTTACGTTTTTTTAGTTATGAAATGCATATAACATTTTCGACGTACCAGTTTTTTTTATACCAATTGTAAGAATCGAACTTGAAACATGTTGATGTCTCAGTCCCGTCTCTTTACCTCTTGACCACAATCACCTGATCAACAATATCAAACTTTTCCACGGACTTAAATGAACTATCAAGATCGAAGAGTAAATTTCTTGATTTTGATATTGTGTTTTATCCTCCTCTAAAATTGTCATTTAGAAGAATTCAGTAATGTTTTCTAAACAACTAAAATTTGAGTAATAGAATAATAGTTTCAAATAAAAAAATAGAAAGAAAATTTGTTGGTCAAACCACTAAGATTAAAGAACATTCAACCATCAAAGCTTTTTAATGGGGGATTATGTTAGCCAAAATAATATTGTGACAAAAGGAACATACAACATCCTATATATATATATTTTATCTTTCTTTTGTCTTTTCTTTTTCTCTTTGGGCTTCTTCTTCTGTGTATGGCCGATATTAGTCGTCTCCTTTAATTTTTTTTTTCCTTCTCCTTCGCCGTAAAGTTTATAATATTTCTCTTAGTTTACTCTCTCTCTCAACTAGGTTTCTTCAAATTCCTAATTTTGGGATTGGTGCTACTCCAACTCTACTCTGATTAGAAGTTTCTGGGTTTCTGATTCGATTCCAAAGTTCCTTCCTTTTTCGGTAAGTTCACCCTTTTCTCAGATTTTTCTCGTTCAAACTACTTCAAAGTTTGCTCCTTTTTGCTAATTAGGGCTTCTAAAGTTTTAATCTTTTACTTCTTTATCGTTGATTCGATGAACAATTTGGCTTCTTGGTCGTTGATTTGGTTTTCTTTTCCTTCAGATTTTGCTCAGACTTTGAGATTCAGCTTAGTTTCTTGGATCCTAGACAGCTCTAAGCAGAAGTGTTTGGCTTAGGATCAGTTTGGGTTTCTTGTTTGGTTCTGAGAGGACTGTTTCAAAGTCTTGTCTGTGTCTTAGAACAAAGTAAAAGTCATTGACTGATGCTACTATTGGTTTAGAACCTCTAACTATGCAGAGGAATAATCTGCGTACCCCAACATCACCAATGTCCTTCTCCTCCTCCAATAACATTACAAGCCCATTGGTTCTAGATGGGTCTGCTTCAATGCACCACTTGTCTCACCAGCAGCAGCAGCAAACAGGACAAAGTTCAGTTCCTGTAATGCAGCACGTGTCTCACCAGCATCAGCAGCAAGCAGGACAAAGTTCAGTTCCAATGAGGGAAAACAACTATTCACATGTGGATAAGAAGCCAAAGTTAGAGGTTAAGCAAGAGGATATGATGCAGCAGCAACAGATATTACAGCAATATATTCAGCGTCAGGATCCAACGGGAAGGAATCCACAGTTGCAAGCTTTGCTTCACCAGCAGAGACTGAGGCAACAACAACAGCAGCAGCAGATTCTTCAATCCATGTCGCCGTCTCAGAGACTCCAACTTCAGCAACAGCAGCAGCAGTTGAGACAGCAACAAGGCGGGGGTCAACAGATTCCTCCTAGTGTGCGTCCTTTTGAAGCTGGCGTGTGTGCAAGGAAACTGATGATGTACTTGTATCATTTACAGCAACGACCTGCGGTAAGGCGGCTAACCTATGGACTTTTTTTTAGCAGTTTCATTCAAGTTTCTCCGCCTTTTACTGATAGTTTTCATACCTTTTTTTTGTAGGAAAATTGCATTACTTATTGGAGAAAGTTTGTGGCTGAGTACTTCTCACCTCGTGCAAAGCAAAGGTTGTGCTTGTCACAGTACGAAAGTGCTGGCCACCATGCGCTTGGCATGTTTCCACAAGCAGCTCCGGTCAGTGCCATAACCGAAACGATTTTGCTACTTAAATCGGTTTAAACCATTCTAAATAGGTTAAAACAAACTAAATCGGTCTTAAACTCTTAAATCAAGCAATAGTATTAGTTCAAATCCACAAAATTTTCTGATTCTTTTTTTTTTTGTATATCTAATTTTCATAATTCATCAAAATAATTTTATAATTATCCAAGATAAATATGTATAAAAACAAATCAGTTATTTGTTAATGACTATGCCCTATGTAGACCCCAAAGCTGCCTAGTCGTTATCATCAGTCTAACATCAGCATATTTGTAGTCTAATGCATGTTTACTCCACCTGAACTACTTCTGAATCTCATTTTCTTTGCAGGACATGTGGCAGTGTGATCTTTGTGGCACCAAGTCTGGAAAAGGATTTGGTAAGAGATTTATATGTGCCTTAATTACAGCACAATGAAGCAACTTCCATATGCTAAATGCTCCTCTTTTTTTTGACTAAATAGTAGCTAAACTTTCATTTTACTCGTGTCAAATCTGCAGAGGCAACTTTCGATATGCTTGCAAGACTAAATGAAATCAAATTTGCTAGTGGCATCATTGATGAAGTCATGTATCTGGACCTCCCACGAGAAAACAGATTTTCCAATGGACTGATGATGTTAGAATATAGAAAAGCAGTTCAGGAAACAGTACATGAGCAGTTTCGTGTTGTACGTGAGGGCCATCTTCGCATCATATTCTCTCAAGATTTAAAGGTATCCAAACTTTTGTTGTTATGCCTATTAGTGAAGAAAAAAAAAGCAATAACCAGTGTGCTAGTGCCTAGCTAATCTTTGACTTTGCTTCTTTCCAGATACTTTCTTGGGAGTTTTGTGCTCGGCGTCATGAAGAGCTTCTTCTCCGCAGACTAATTGCTCCACAGGTCCTATTCTGATGACATGGCCTATATATTATGAGCTTAAGACTTTACATAAAACTTTTGTGGTCAACTTGTTAATTTGAGGGTGTAATATTATTTATTTGCTTAGATATGAAAACAAAGTATATAATACTTGGAAAGTGTATTGAAAACTTATTGGTCATGCAGGTGAACCAGTTGCTTCAGGTTGCACTGAAATGTCAGAGCACAATCTCGGAGAGTGGGTCAGAGGGAGTTTCTAAGCAGGATTTACAGTCAAACAGTAACTTGTAAGCTGATCCATAACATTTGATTTACCTTTGATGCATACTATTCTTTTTATAGTTCATGTTCTAGTAATATATCATTGTTTGGTGTTAATTTGTGTGTCAGGGTCTTGGGAGCAGGACGGCAGCTGGCAAAGTTCATGGAATTACAGTCTCTGAATGATCTTGGCTATCCAAAAAGATATATCAGAACTCTACAGGTAATCGTTAATTTCCTCTCCTAGCTGTTAGTTTTATAGCTCAAGTCTTCTAATATTGAGCCATCACCAGATATCTGAAGTTGTAAAGAGCATGAAGGATCTGATGAACTTCACCGGCGAGCACAAAATTGGCCCTATTGGTAAGTCTAACAACATTCTTCTTGACCTGAAACAAGGTTGCCACTCTGGTGTGAGCTGCACTTGATTGATACTTATTGTTGTAGCTCTCCTTTTGAGATGGTTCTGTTTGATTATTTGAGTTTCTGACTGAATGTACTCGTTATGCAGAGGGGTTGAAACGGCTTTTTGAACAGACAACGACAATGAGGCGACAGAAAATGCAAGAGATGGAGCAGTTAGGTAATAGTGGAGCTATTATGAATGGGTCATCATCTCAAGCTCAGATGGCGTTGACTCCAGGAACGATGAACGGCCTAACTGGGAACAACAACAACAACAACAACAACAATCACCATCAAGTTGTTGGTCGTGGAGCTATGAATGGCTCAGCTCAAGCCGCAGCAGCTTTGACCAACTACCAAAGCATGCTTATGAGGCAAAATGCTATGAATAACCCAAACTCAAGTCAGAGCCAGAGTCCATCTTCTTCGTCTCATCAGATGCAGAACTTAGCCACAGGTGGATTCCCCAGCTCTCCCCAGATGCAAAACCAGCAGCGCACCATGAACGGTGCTCCCAACACGCTTCAACGGAATCCTCCTCCTCATCATTTGGAACCTCCACATGCACATGGTAACAGTCAGGAGCAGCAGATGCTTCACCAGATGTTGCAGGGGATGTCTCAAAACGGAGCAAATATGCAACAACAACAACAACCATTTTCAGGTCAAAATGGTGGCAACAGTAATGCAGAGAGAAACCCAACTGCCTCTACTTCAAACATCTCTGGAGGAGGCCGAGTTCCAAGCCGCAACAACAGTTTCAAATCAGCTTCAAACAGCAACCTTCATTTATCAGATGATAATATACCTATTACAGAACTACCTCATGATTTCTCAGCAGACGACTTCTTCAACAACAACGATATTTATGGCAGCTTGTAAGATCTCAACGCAACAAAAGCATTGTTACTTTGACATAACACAATGAAGAAGGCTTTAGGCTTTAATTTGCCGCATTTAAGGTTGGTTGGGTCTTTGTACAGAGAGATATGAGTGCAGTGAAGGGAACTGGTATCTGTTGTAACCTATATAGGCACTTTAGCATCTTTTTTCCCATCCTTTTTAGTGATAGTATAATGAGATCTTAGGTTATAATCTCTGCAAACATTTTAATGATATGTTACTCTTTTCTATGATTTTTTTTTTTGGCTTTGATAACAATCTGTTCATACAAAAGATTGGCAAGTTTACTCATACTTAACGGGTTGCCTCTTATTTAAATTCGTCATCAAGCACTTTGTCTGTTATATTAGTTTTCTTGTTCTGACAAAGATATGTATCCCATCATGCATATTCTGACCCTTTTGACTGATGAATATACAACTGTTGTAGTGTCACTAGAAGGGGAAAAATGAAGATACTAAAGTGCCTATAGCCTCATATCACTTTGGTTTCTATACAAAGAACAACAAAACCAACCTGTATGAGAAGAATTAAGCCTAAAACCCAACTTTCACTTTTTGTTACGTTAAAGTAGAAACGCCTCTGTTCTGTTCTACAAGCTACCCTATATATCACTGGTCGGTGGAGAAGTTGTCTTCTGAGAAACCGTCACGTACTTCTGTGGCATCTTCTGAGAAATGAGGATTATTGTTGTTGCGGCTTGGAACTTGGACTCCTCCTGAGATGTTGGAGGTATAGCCAGTTGGGTTCCTCTCTGCATTACTATTGCTACCATTCTGACCTAAAAAGGCTTGTTGCTGTTGCACACTTGGGTTTCCATACATCTCCTCAAACATCTGGTCAAGCACCTGCTGCGCCTGATAGTTACCCTGTGAATGTGGAGGTTGCAAATGATGAGGATGATTCTGCTGAAGCGTGTTGGGAGTGCCATACATGGACCGATGCTGCATCTGGGGGGAGCTACCTGTTGCTAAGTTCTGCCACTGTTGAGACAAATATGGACTTGGACTCTCACTCGTGAACACCTCTAGTTTTCCCGTCTTTAAGTATGTGTTATTAATATCTTCTAGCCACATAAGCAAGCTTTGGTCGTTGGTCAGAGCAGCAGCTGCTTGAGGAGCTGAGCCATTCACAGCTCCACGACCAGACATTTGATGGGGGTAGTTGTTGTTTCCAGGATTGAACGCCATCTGAGCTTGAGGCGACCTATTCATAGCTCTACTATTCTCTAACTCCTGCATCATCTCTTGCATTGTCTGTCTCTGGAGCCTCTTTGTCGCTGTCTGTTCCGAGAGCCATTTTCGCCCCTCTATGTAAATGCATCAAAACATTTATACATTCAGTCAGAAACTCAATCACCGGATCAAACAGAACATTCTCAGCAGTAAGGATCTTGTAGATTGGAATTTTAGACTTACCGATAGGGCCGATTTTGTGCTTATATGTGAAATCCATCAGATCTTTCATGCTCTTGACAACTTCATATGTCTGCCAACTCGCAATGGCCTTACTATTACGTTTCAGATACAAAACCAACATCTAGGAAAAAAAACTTAACGAGTACTACCTGTAGAGCTCTGACATATTTTTTCGGATAGCCAAGATGAGTCAGAGACTCTAATCCCATGGAATTTTCCAGCTGCTTTCCTGCTCCCAAGACCCTGACACACAAATTAGCACCCAGCAATGACATATAGCACTAAAAATAGACAAAAATATTGAATGTATGAAAGGCAAATCAAATGGACACATGGATCAACTAACATGTTACTGTTTGTTTGTAAATCCTGCTTGGAAACTCCCTCTGGTCCACTCTCCGAGATTGTGCTCTGGCATTTTTGTGCAACCTGAAGCAACTGGTTCACCTGCATGCATGACCGGTAATAAATGGCTAAACCAATGTTCAAAAGTAAAGTTACAGACATTGTAAAGACATGTCTAAGCCTCATATTCATAGGGAAACCAGAAAAATAACCATATAAGAAGATATGTAAGTCTTAAATCTCCTAATAATTAACGGATAAGATCATGTAATCAGAACAGGACCTGCGGAGCAATAAGTCTGCGGACAAGAAGCTCTTCATGACGCCGAGCACAAAACTCCCAACCCAGTATCTAGAAAGAACCAAAAGTCACGAAGCATTAGTACATTGGTGAAACAGAAAACTTGGAAAAAAGAGAATTTCTCTAGATACCTTAAAATCTTGAGAGAATGTGACACGAAGATGTCCCTCACGAACAACACGACACTGCTCGTATACAGTTGTCTGAACAGCTTTCCTATATTCTAACACCATCATTCCATTGGAAAATATGTATTCATGTGGATCGTTCAGATATAAGAGCTCATCAATGATGCCGCCACTAGCAAATTTGGTTTCAAATAGTCTGGCAAGCACATCATAAGTCGCCTCTACAGTTTCAAAAAACAATTAACAGTTTAGAAAAAAAAGAAGAGCATTTAGCATATGGAAGTTGCTTAACTCTCTTACCAACTCCTTTTCCAGACTTGGTGCCGCAGAGAGTACACTTCCATATACCCTACCAAAAAAAAAACAAGAAGATAATGGACTTAATAAAACGAAATTCAGAAAGAAGTAACAAAAAAATAAGCTGATGAAGACTATAACACACGGGGGTAAGAAGAAACTGACCTGTGGAAGCGTGCCAAGCATGTTTCCAGCACCTTTGTACTGAGAAAAGCACAACCTTTGCTTTGCACGAGGTGAGAAGTATTCTGCCACGAACTTCCTCCAAAAGGTAATGCAATTATCCTATCAAAAACGTATCAGACCATTAGTAGATGTGATGATATTGCTAAAAAAAGTCACAGGTTTAGTTATTATTAGCTTACAGCAGGTCGTTGCGTTATGTGATACAAGAACATCATCAGTTTCGGAGAACAAACGCTAGCTTCATAAGTACGCACATTACGAGGGATCTGTTGCTGTAGTAGTCGCCGTCTCAGCTGCAGTTGCTGATGAGGTTGAGGAAGAGGGGGTCTCTGAGAGGATGACATGGATTGAAGAAACTGTCTCTGTTGCCTCGTCCAAGCTTGCATCTGCGGATCTTGTTCCGTGGGTTCCTGATGCTTGTTGTACTGCTGCAGCATGTTGTCTTGCTCAGCTTCTAACCTGCTCTTTTTATCCACATGGTAATAATTGTTTTCCTTCATCGTAACTGAACTCTGTGTCCTGAAGCAGACCCACCAAATGTTAACGTTATTCAAGGAGGAGCCACACATAACACAAAGTTTGATACCAAATGTGAGCCAATAACAAAGCCATATGGATCCTAAAACATACTTGTAATCAGTAATCACTGATCAAGAAACGGGGTAGACCTAAAGACGAAGTAAAAGGAGCAAACTTGAGGTAGCTTCATAAGCATTAAGCATCAACGAACATCTCAAAAGCATTATGATCACTAAAGCACACTTCTAATCAGTAATCAAGAAACCAAAAAAACAGAATCTAAGGAACACTTCTAATCATGTAATCACCGATCAAGAAACCAAAATAGTTCCTCTATGCAACAAAGACTAACATTTCGAAGCAAAAGAAGCAAACTTTGAAGTAGCTTCATCATAAGCATCAACGAACATCTCAAAAGGAATGGTTATGAACTAACCGAAAAGGAACAAACTTTCGAATCGAATCAGCGACTTTGATCAAAACCCAGAAATTTTCTTTCGATCAAGCAGAGACTCCGAGTCGCACCAATAATCCCAGAATCAAGAAAGTCCCAAGTTCGCACCTTTTTTTTTTCAAACTTGATTTATTTATTTGATTAATA